GTCCTAGGTACATTATTGGGAACCTAATGTCCCAAGATTGTGCATTCTGGGCTAATGTGCTAAAGTAATCAAGGGCCTCATCAGGGTCTTTGTTCAAAAATTCACCCTTGCACATCATGTCAATGAATTGTCTATGGGTTGGTGTGATTCCTTCCTAGAAGAAACTTACCAGTTGCCAAGATTCAAATCCATGATGTGGAATGGATTATAGCAACTCCTTGTAACGATCACAACATTGATAGAATTGCTTATTGGACTTCTCAGAAAAGTTTTGAATTTTCTTTTTCAAAGCAGTGGGTATATGAACCGAAAATTTTTTATTGAAAACTTCAGAATTCATTTGAGCCCAAGAGGTAATGGATCCAGGTCGCGTGGCATCAAACCATGATTTGGCTTTATCTTTGAGGGAGAAGGGAAACAATTTCAATTGAGCTATGTCCTCAATAGCATAGTTAGCATTGAAGGTTGCAACCATATCCTTAAAATTCTTTAGGTGCTCGTAGGGGTTTTCCCTTTCAATTCGATGGAATAAATGAAGTAGTTGCAACATCCCCGACTTAACTTATAAGAGCTGAGCTTGGACCGGTAAGAAAATACATGAGGGTGTGGTGCTACAGATTGGTTGAAAGAAATCCCTCATAGACCTCGCCGGAGGATCCATTTGGATGTTATTCCCCTCATTCACGGGAGGGGGAAATTGCATTTGTAGATTAGGCATTCTAGGTTTGGGCATTCCCCCACCCCTTTGAACATTTGGATTGGCACCAACGTTTTCAAAATTATCGCTCGCATCCTCGGGTGCGTTTTGGTCAATATTTATGTTGGGGCCTAAGAGTTGTCTAACCAATCGATTTTGTTCGTTCTATCCCCACATGCAACAACTTATCTACAAGTGAAACTATACACAACAAAAATATATACACAAAACAACGTATCTCCGCCCAAGATGAAAATCACGGGACTTACCTCCGTTGTCCGGAAATTGCCTTCTTGATTCGACACTTGCCTTCCCCGACAACGGCGCCAAAAAAGCTTGAATTATTTTCGTGTTGTTCCTAACCTCTTAACATCTCCCTCAACGTATGTATGGTGTGTGTGAGGGGGACTGTCACTCTCCCTTGGGATGATGTCAAAAGAAAGGGCAAAGGAATGATGGAATATGAAATGTACAAAATGTGTGTGCATGTGAACAAAAGTGCTCCCCAAGCGCAATGAGTCTTTTGAGTGTTGTGTTTTACTTGGAAAAGTATTCCAAGGCTGTCTCCTCGGGGAAGAATGTGAATCGTTTTGAAAGTGATTTCGGCGAAAAGAGAGTGTAAAATCTTTTATAGTTTGAAGTTGGTTTGTGATGAATTTGAAATGGGAAACAAGTGTTGGCTAATCCGAAGGGTCCACTCCAATGGAAATGTCAAGTCAACCCGAAACCTTCCTCCACTGGTGCATAGATGAATGGTTGATTCGTGGGAAGCGAGGGACGAGATGGAAGTAAGAATCCAAGCATAACCCGTGACAAGTCTACGGGATATCAAAGACTCACACCTTGTCCTCACTCAACCCAGTCAAACCAAACCATCGTACACTGAGGGGATGAAAGAAGATGGGTTGAAATGGCATACCCAAGAGGAGGTCTCCCTTGGATTAGCCAACTTAAAGACATAGCTCCTCATGCTTAAAGTAAATACAACAATGTAATGAGAAGACATTATAAAGAAATGAAGATTGAAGCTAAATATAAATGAAATGCACAAATATAACTTCTGAATAATTATACATTTCATTCACCTCTTACTAAAGATTGGATGAAAAACTACTCACTCTTCATGGCCTTGGTCAAGCTAGAAAAGTGAAAAATGATCATCCCTCCAAGTAGAGGAGTTACAAGGTAAAACACTTTACACAAGGAGCCAATCTTCGACAAAAGATGAGTGAATCATGTTCCACCCTTCACCGCTTTGGTAAGCTCAAGAAAAGTGGAAGAGTTTCACTTTTTCAAGGGAAGAAGGAAGCTCAACAATGAAAATAAAAGAAAGCAATAATACAATAAAGGAAAGCAATACTTAAAGTAAAGGAATCAATAAATTAAAAGAAAGCAATACTTAAATAAAGAAAGCAATACTTTTGGAGGATTTTTCACTAACAAAAGATGAATGTTTTACAATTCTTAAGTGGTGGTATTTATAGGCAACAAAGGAGGATGAAAGTCTTGTTTGACAGCTATGAATTACACTTTGCCCCCCCCCCTTTGTTTTGAGCTTTGGTAATTGGCACCGTATAGTTTGTAGCTTTTATAATTGGCTCTCCAGTAGTTTGTAGCTTTGACAAAATTGACTCCATATAGTTTGCAACTTTGACGCACAAGACCCTGAAAAGAACAACAATCAATGCATTATCCTTAATTCACACACTAAACCTAATTTGACTTATTTTGACTAGTTTAACTTTATTTAACTAACATAATTGACCTATTAACTAAATTAAATTATGTCTTAATTAGGGTTAATCAGCTAACCCTCTTCCTACAGCTCAATTCATATTTCTTCAAAAAATTCATTAAATTAGTCAAAGATTTCTTGTCCCCACTCAAAAATATAAAGGTATCATCTACAAAAAGGAGATGACTAACCAGACGAGCTCCTCTAGCTAGATGAGAATGTCTCACCACTTTCTGCTCAAAAATTTTCCCTAGCTCCCTACTAACCACTTCCTCAGCTAAAATAAAAAGGCAGGGCGACAGAGGATCCCCTTGCCTCAGCCATCTAGAAGAAGGAAAGAATCCCCCACCTTATTCCATTCACATTTATTGAAAAATATTGGTTTTCTAAACAATTGGTCACAATTTGAAAAAAAAGAGGAGAGAAACCAAAACCGTCCAACACTCTAAGCAAAAAGTCCCACTCCAGCCTATCATAGGCCTTCATCATGTCCAACTTTAACATCATATTTCCTACCTTAACTTTTCTATTCATTTCACCCACCATCAATTGCCATAGAGAGACACAATCTCCAATATTTCTACCTTTAACCAAACCATATTGGTCATGAGAAATCAAGCCAGGCAGCAAAACCGAGAGTCTAATGGTCAACAATTTCATGAAGATTTTGTAAAAGAAGTTACACAGACTTATGGGTCGAAAATCAACAAAAGAAGTAGGATTGGTCTTCTAAGGAATTAAGGTAAGCAAGGTAGAATTTACAGATCTGGGAATGCACCCCCCCTCTTAAGAAAAAATTGACCCATTGGAGCAAATCCTCACCCATAACTTCCCAAGCCCCTTGAAAAAACCCACCCGAAAGGCCATCCACTCTACGGGGCACTATACTTAGACATATAGAAAACAACTTGTTTCACTTCCTCCCAAGTACCAAGATGAACCAGGCCAAAATTTTGATCATCATTAACCAGCTTATGAATAATAGTCATTAATTCTTCATCAATTTGATGAGGTTCAGACTGATATAAAAACAAATAGAACTCCTCTGCCATAAAACCAAACTCTTCTTCCAAATGAACCCAAATGCCAGCTAAATTCTGGATTCCACCCACTCTATTTCTCGAAAACTTGTCATTGGCTAAAGCATGATAAAATTGAGTATTTCTCTCTCCTTCTACTGCCCAACGCAAATTGGCTTTCTGTCTTCAGTAAATCTCCTCAAGCCTCATAATCAAATCCAACTCACCAGCACACTTTCCAATTTCTGGATATTCTCTATTGAGGGCAGCTGCTCCATAACAATTTCAGCATTTGATAACTCCACCTCTTTCGACCTTATTTCTTCAAAGATGTTACCAAAGACCTCAACATTCCAAAGCTATAAATGTTTTTTCAAAAACTTCAATTTAAGAAAAAAATTATGAACTGGATTATTAGAGAATGAACCCTCATGCTCTAACCACATATTATGGAATTTGAATACGAAATTCTCTGTTGTTGATCCATTGACACCTTGATTAACAAAGGAGAGCGATCAGATCTCCCTCTGGCTAAATGTAAGACCTCTGTCTTTCCCATTCTGTCTCCTCCAACAACATTCAGAAGGGCCCTATCAATCCTCTGCCACATTCTAGCATTCCCATCATAATTATTACACCAAGTAAATCAACTTCCCAAAAAGCCACCATGCATCAACCCAGCCCCCATAATGAAATCATTAAACTCCCCCATTGACACTACATATGGGAAAAAACCCCCCAGCCTCTCTTCAGAACACATAACCACATTAAAGTCCCCCACCACCATCCATGGAGTCCCATAAGGAACAAATAATTGCGACAAGTGCTCCCATAGAGTCCTCCAAAGAACATGGTCACAACATGCATACACCACAGAAATAAAGACCCCTTTGGATCCCATATAAGAAGCTTCAAAGGTCAATACCTGCTCATGTTTTGCCACAATCTTAACATCCATTCTACTATCCCACAAAATCCAAATATACCTTTCAACCAGACTGTTAAAAATAAAATTGGACAGACCAATATTTGAGGAACAACTCTGAATTTTATCCCCACCAACTTTAGGTTCTAAAATAGCAACCAACGAAGCACCATGTATTCTCACCAACTTTTTCAACCTCCTCCTCTTCACCAGCTTATTTATCCCTCTAATATTACAAACAAGGAAAGTATTCGTAGAAAGGAAAATAATCAACACACCACTCAACAAACGCCTATCAGCCACCATTCTAGCAAAAGAAGGACTAGAACAATAGAAACTATAAGAACTGACTCATAAATTCCAAAACCATACCTAGTATTTTCAACAAAAAATGAAGACCATATATGATAATACCCTAGAAGAACCAAATATAAAGGAGAGTAATTTTCATCAGAAGAACGAACAAAAAGTGAAACACAAAGAAGATGAAAATTCTCCAAAGAGAATAAAGAAGCCCTCTCATCCTTTTCTTCCACAGAAATGATCCTAACAGACTAAGAAGAATACCATAACAGAAATTTAGAAGGTACAGACTGAAAAGGAAACCCAACAAAAACACCTGACCCGATTCTCTCAAAACCTTTTCTAGGAAAGAAAGAAATGGCCCTTAGACAAACCTTTTTACCCACTACACTTGAGATCTGCAAAGAACAACCTCTTCCCAAAACTTGTAGAACAGGACCCTTCACACTCCTACGAATTGGTCTTAGGATGTGAAAATCAGAACCGACAATCAAATCTCCACCATATTCCAAGACTTCTAGGACCTGACTCTTCACATGCATTAACAAAATCAGTTGAACCTCTTTGAAAATGGAAGAGTCAGTCAAAGAAAACTGAAACCCTTCCTCTTGAAGAACAAAAAAACTAATCAAAACCGTGTGAATTAACACAGTATTCTGAACCTGCGCAAATACAAATACAATTAACCCTTTGAATAGTTCATTCCCCCTACCACCTGAATTCCAACTGACACATATTCATCTATAAAAACATACTCCATTCTAGAAAAGAAACCACTTATTCTCTCCTGCGCATAAAGAACTTGCAAACCAGAAAAACCATTTCGCCTAGAATCCAATACATACAATGACCCACCCTGATTTAGTTCAAAACCCAGTTCATTACAAATCAAAAAATCCCCAATCACTTTTAAAACCATAGATTTCACCTCTCTCTCCTGAACAACTTGTCCTCCTTCCTCCCATATCAAAAAATTAATCATGGAAAGAAGGCAAACCACCATCTCTGGCTTTAAGCCTAACACCCACCTTTGCAGAACAAAACTCTAGAGATACAGAATCAGATTCCTCTAAGCTTTCATTATCTACTACTATTCTCTACATCAGACTTTTACTTCTCATAGTACTCCCTGAATCAGATAAATACCCTTTATCAGGGGGTTCCCTATATCTTACCAAACCTCTTTCATCATCCAGTGTACCCGATAACCCTCCCTTAGAAGTAGAAAAACGACCAACATAAAAGGCAAAATTATCAGATTGAGAATACTACTTATCCATAAGACAAATCCCACAATTATCATCACCCTCACCAGAACCATTCATTTGATTAGCCCTTACTACTACTTTGTCATCAACAAAAGAACCCCTCTCTTCCTGAATCCTCTAAGTGGCAACAGATTCAAAAACAATATTCTGACCCTTATCCACTATTTTGATAGATAAATCCACCTGAGTAGAACCAACATCAAGACTAGGAATAGAGACAACCTTATTTAAATTTACCCCCTCACCTATAACCTCCTCACCAAGCCTAGGAAGACCCACGGCTTCATGACCAGAAGCAACACTCACCAAATCCCCAGCTTCCTTCTGTTGTTCAACAAGTGCATCACTTACAATTTCCTTAGGTAACTCTTTACTTTTCCTAGAGGCCATATTAAATGAAGCAACTTGAAGCTCCCTTACACTTCTCTGTTGAACACCATTCCTTCCCTCCTCAACACCTTCCTGATTTTGCTGAAAAATTTCATCCTTACTTGAATGATCACCTCTAAGTAAATTAAAGAAATTTCCATCACTTCGCACAAGCACACCCTCCCTTAAACGTCCCCTCTCCTTATTAGATACTACACCCTTCCCTTTAACAACCTATCATTCTCTATCATTTTTACCCCCCCATTTGTCTCCTTTGAAACCTCAGAGAAAATAGACTGTTCACTCTTTGCACCCACATCATCTTTGTTATCCCCTTTATCCACTTTCCCAAAAATCTTTCTTCTACACTCTACATCTCCATGTCCCTCCTTCAAACATTTCTTACGATACTTTACTCCTTTCTTATAAACAATTCTTTGCCATCCACCACTTGAACCCCCAAAGTCCAACCAAAATTTGGAAGGATTCTCAGCAGAAAAGTTAATCTCAATGCGCGCCCTTGCCACTACATGCCTTGTTAACTACAAAGTAGAGTTATCTATCACAAGAATTTTTCCTATTGGACTCAATTATCTCAAAGGCTATCACGATTGAAAAGGTGAATTGGTAAACCAGGTCCATATCGGCACCACTAGTGGTTCGATTTCTGACAAGAATTTTGAAAACCATTTGAAAAAATGGAATAAGAAACCCTAAATATATGTAACGTCCTTTAACCAGGTTTTCACATAATCTTCATAGAGTTCAAACCTAATCAACACATGCCTAGGATCTCATAGTTATAAACTCACGAATCACACCAATCGAGGGTTTCCATATGCACATTTTTTTGATTAGGGTTTCTTGAAACCCTTTTGAAAGTTCTATAGTCTCAACCTCAGACCAATATATCCCAGGTTCCTCATTGTTGAACACAACCCTCTTGGTTAGATGACACACTAAAGCATAAGGAAGAGAAGAACCATTAGAAGGATCATTACCAGACCCAACATCATGGCCTTTACCATAATTTCCAATAATCAAAGGATTAGAAGGAGTAGTAAATAGAGAAACAAAAGCTCTCCTAGTTTCCTAAGGGTTAAGGGGCATATCTGAAGTTTTCCCATCATTCGGACTCAACCTAGAAACGTTTCGTACATCTTGACCTTGTTTGAAGAAGTTCATAGAACTTGAAGGACTTGAAGAATTTAATGAATTCTTTAATAATGAACTAAAATTTTTTGTAATGTCAGGAGGTTTTGGTGGAATTGCAGCCATAACTAAGGATAACAAGAATTAAAAAGAATTTGCAAAAGAAAGAAGAAATTTTGATAAAATTAGTGAAAAAATAAAGAAGAAATGAAAAGTTAGAGAAAAGTCAAAGTTTTTCTCTCTAGAATGAAAATTGTGCCCCATTTTTTTTTCCCAAGTTCATTTACATAATTACATTATGATTTGAGTATGGTGAATTGTTAACATGAATGGAATTTTGGTTTTTATGTATTTTGGTTTGAAAATAAAGTTTACTAGAGACTAGCAAAACTCAAGTTGGGGGGTGTGATGAGCATAGAAGATTGCAAATCATGCATCTCTTTTGCACCCATTTATGCTTGTTTTGTGGTGAAAATTAGGGAAAATACTTTAAAACTCACATTTGATGAAGATTCATGTGATTGTAGGTAAAGAGCAGGTAAGTTCAAGCATAAAGCCTCCCATCAAGTGCTCAAAGGCAATGGAGAAGAAGGGAAGGCTTAACTGATGGTTCGAGACATCAAGTAACAAAGGAAATTCCAAAGCAGGACAAAACCTACCAGTAGAAGTCAGCCAAAACCTACCGGTAGAAGTTAGTCAAAACCTACTGGTAGAAGATCCAAAACCTACCGATAGGAAAAGTGCACTGGAATTTTCTACCACAGCCATGCCAAAAACCTACCGTTAGAAAATGCTTACTAGAAAAAAAACCTACCGGTAGGTTTTTGACATTCTACCGATAGGTTTCGCCCAGAAATGCCAGATGCCTACTCACACAACTCCACCTACTCTGGGGGCCCACCTCTTGTCATCCAAACCATACACTGACATCTTTGACACACCATGATGTTCTCTTTCACCCTCAAGTCAGATTTGGAAGAGAAATGCATGGGAGAAGAAAGAGAGAGAAGAGGTGTGGTTGGTAAAACATGGGAGGAGCATGCAATATCTTCCCACTCATTTCACCTAAGTTATCACAAACGAAGGAGGGGTATGGACAAAATTTAAAGGGGTCTGATCGGGTTTTTACATTTCCTTCACCATTTGCATTGTAGTAAGCTTTAGTTTACTTGTAATCTTTCTCCCTTTCACTCTAAACTCTTTTATTTAAGTTGTAATCAAGCTTAGTTAAGTTTTCTAGCATTTCAATTTCTGGATTTGGGTATTTTTTCTTCAATCTTTGTATTTGGATATGAATGAATTTACTCTTGTAGTTTAAACCTTTTCTTGCATCAATACAAGTTTCATGCTTCATTTCACTACCATGTTTCTTTACATTATGTTTGTTCTTGCTTTTACTATGAGTAGCTAGACTTTTAGTTGGCTAATCTAAGGAGAATTTCCTCTTGGGTATGTGAAATTGACTCTCGTTCATTCTTCCTCGTAGTGTAAAATGTTTGGTTTGTCTAGGTTGAGTGCGGACGTGGTTTTGGGCTCTTGATACACCGTAGACTTGTCACGCGGTATGCTTCTGCCTAACACATCCACACTAGTCTCTTACTTCCTATGAATCACTCAAACACCGAGATACCATTTGTTAAATGAATTGAGTCGATTTTGCATTCCCATTGGAATGACCTCTATGGATTAGAAAACCTTGTTTTCTTGTATTAATTCTCAAAACACAACTCACCAAAACACATTTCTCAAGATTTTTCAATTTTCATTTCTTTGCAAATCACCCTTCAAAACAATTTGACATTTCTTTCCCTAAGGAGACGAACTTGGAATACCCAATTTCAAGTAAAGCAAGACATTGCAAGTCTTTCTACCCTTGGGGAGCACTTTTGCATAGGCTCACATTTTTTTTCACACACACGATTTTTCCTATTCCTTGCATTTGAACCCGAGGGAGAGTGACACTGACCAACTCGTATAAGCCATATACACACAATCTGGGTTGATGTTTGGAGATTAGGAAAAATGATATAAGCAATGTCCTCTTCCATGTTAACAAATTTTATACCCCGATAGACTTTATTATTTTGGACACCCAACTAGTTATACATTCGAGGAGTCAAATTCATGTCATCCGCAGTTGACCCTTCCTTGCCACTTCTGATGCCTTGATCAATTACAGGAATGGTGCTATGAAATTTTATTGTGGTAATATGTGCACCCTTGAATTGAATATCTTCATTATTGCTAAAAAACTAGGCGAAGGGGATGAATTAAGGAAGATAAATTCTATGAAGTCTTTGGCACAAGACCATTTGAATAAGGCATTTTATGGGGATTCTTTGGAGACTTGCTTGGTTGATTCTTTGATAGAGGAGGAATATGATAGAGTCATATGCTAAAAGCTTACTTTTTATAGTGAAACTCATTTTATTATTTAATNGAGAATTTCCTCTTGGGTATGTGAAATTGACTCTCGTTCATTCTTCCTCGTAGTGTAAAATGTTTGGTTTGTCTAGGTTGAGTGCGGACGTGGTTTTGGGCTCTTGATACACCGTAGACTTGTCACGCGGTATGCTTCTGCCTAACACATCCACACTAGTCTCTTACTTCCTATGAATCACTCAAACACCGAGATACCATTTGTTAAATGAATTGAGTCGATTTTGCATTCCCATTGGAATGACCTCTATGGATTAGAAAACCTTGTTTTCTTGTATTAATTCTCAAAACACAACTCACCAAAACACATTTCTCAAGATTTTTCAATTTTCATTTCTTTGCAAATCACCCTTCAAAACAATTTGACATTTCTTTCCCTAAGGAGACGAACTTGGAATACCCAATTTCAAGTAAAGCAAGACATTGCAAGTCTTTCTACCCTTGGGGAGCACTTTTGCATAGGCTCACATTTTTTTTCACACACACGATTTTTCCTATTCCTTGCATTTGAACCCGAGGGAGAGTGACACTGACCAACTCGTATAAGCCATATACACACAATCTGGGTTGATGTTTGGAGATTAGGAAAAATGATATAAGCAATGTCCTCTTCCATGTTAACAAATTTTATACCCCGATAGACTTTATTATTTTGGACACCCAACTAGTTATACATTCGAGGAGTCAAATTCATGTCATCCGCAGTTGACCCTTCCTTGCCACTTCTGATGCCTTGATCAATTACAGGAATGGTGCTATGAAATTTTATTGTGGTAATATGTGCACCCTTGAATTGAATATCTTCATTATTGCTAAAAAACTAGGCGAAGGGGATGAATTAAGGAAGATAAATTCTATGAAGTCTTTGGCACAAGACCATTTGAATAAGGCATTTTATGGGGATTCTTTGGAGACTTGCTTGGTTGATTCTTTGATAGAGGAGGAATATGATAGAGTCATATGCTAAAAGCTTACTTTTTATAGTGAAACTCATTTTATTATTTAATAAAAGTTATTCATTTTCTATTGAGAATCTGAATGGGTAAAATATTTGCATTATATTAAATATGTTATGCATGTGTGTCTTTTATTTTAAATTATACGTAATCTAGTGTGTAGAGTTTGATTTATCCATAGATGATCAGAGTATAAAATCCTTGTATGATGTGAGTGAAGGTTCACACTCTTAGATGGAATTGGACACCATCAATAAGATTATAGTGCAATCTTCTAACATAGGTTGTCTTGACTATAGGAGACAATCTAATGTCTTGGATTGTTGCACTAGTACACTTTGTGTATTGAATATGACCATTATTGAGGTCATTTTTTTACTGAGTAAATAAGAAAATAAATACCTCATAGTTATTATGATTGCTTAATCTCTTAATCCTAAAATATTTAATTTACACGTGCATATAATGATTGTTAGCTTAATTCATAATAGAGTGAGATTCATATTTGAGTCAAAAAACTCGGTGAATTGAAGATAACATTATTCGTATGGTGGAAATTAATTATTCAAGGAAACCATGTCCTAATATTTAAATGGGTTAATGATATTCTCTTGAGAAAGCTCATAAGTTTTGTCCATGTCAAACCCTATAGGTGGATTTAATTATTCGACATGACAAATAAGTTGAGTGGTAAGATCTCAAGGATAAAAAAAGGTTA